GAAGAAAATAATTAAAAACGGTTTAGATCTCACAGTAATCGTTGAACCAATTCGTCAGTTGATCCCTCGGCTAGAATTAGGGGCTTAGTTCCCCATAATTAGAGAACAGGCCATGCGTGGGAAGTTTGGAGAAATTGTTGGATTTGCTCGTTCGATTTCGGCCAACAGAATGAAGAACGGAACGAAGGGAATCTATTGCTTCCAATCACAATCATGCGATGGAAACCTGATGCTCTCTACCAATCCGGTCCAAGCTACGGGAAAAGCAAAGATCCGCAGGTCCACAATCGCGACTGGACTTCCACTCGCTACCAAAGAAAGGAAAAGTCAACACAGCAGCCCTTCCTCTCAATGGTTTACAATAGCCTACGAGAATGTCTTTTTCTTATTCCTTCCATTCGGTCACAATAAAGACAAGCAATTCCCAAGGTCACAAGCAATGGCCTTTTGTCTCCTTATTGCTTACGAGAACCACGGCCAACCCAATTCAATTGATAGATTGGAAAATAGCAATTGCTCAAGTCAACAGAAGATGAAAAGCAATACTAGAAAATGTCAACAATGGTGGCTTTGTTCTCCCCCCCCTTTACAAAGCTGCGGGGGCCGCCTTTTAAACGCATCCCCCCTAAACCTAAGTCACGCGAGAATACTTAATTCTTCCTCGGTTGTGGTCCCCAGTTCCAGGAAGGGATTTTTTCCTTTTTTGGAAATTGTTCTTTTTCCCAAAATTAAAACAAGACTCTCTCAAAATATAATAAAATAAAATCTATTACAATTAGATTTCTTCAGTTTCTCAAACGGGCCCCACGTACGATGAATCTTCTAAAAGTGGAATTTAAGCACTTTTCATCATCCATTCCTGCAATTAGCATCAAAACAAAATATCAGTAGAATCCATCCAATTAATGAAAATATTTAGTCAATTAATTGTGCAATAATGCCCAAAATACCCACTAAAAGGCATCCTATCAATCTCCCCCACACCTGAACTATGCTTGCCCTCAAGCATAATTAACTCAGAAATGCAATAAAGATACTAAGCAAACCACAGCAGTTCATACCAAGAATGGCATTCCAAATTTCCCAATAACCTCATCGAAATCAGAGTATACCAAATCAACAATTCTCACCATTTAAAGTGCACTCAATCACTCCAAAATGTATATGAGATGTATATAAGATAACTCTCAGATCAACACAATAGAATGACACTACCATACGCTTGCTCATATATCATATCTCCACCACTTACTTATGAATTTAAATGCAGCAATCAAGGGACTTTAAAAGGTTGTAATGGGGATAGGGTGAGAAGGTAGGATAAAGGGTGTAAAAGTATAAAGAAAGTGCTCAGAAATTCATTACACAGATTCTTGCACATTGGGAACTTCAAGGCACCTCAACCATCCCTCAATCGGAGTAAATTAGCACTTGCCACAACCTTCGACTTTTTCTTTCTCCTCTTTTTTTTTCCCTTTTTTTTTCTTCTTTGAATTCAATTTTGTACCATAACTCCCAACCAGCACCATAAGAATCAACTTTACTTGCTGATTTCCTGCCCTTTGTCTTCTTTTCACCTTTGTCTCTTTTTTTCTCGTTTTTCTCTCTTTTTTTTTTCTCAATTTCATAGATAGGTGTAATGCCTCTCAAATAATACTCCAAAATTCTGTATAGTGAAATCAAAGCACTGCTTCACATAAGGTTCAAAAAGAAAGTCTAAAAAGAGGCTTTTCGGCTAAAAACTAGGGTCTCAAGCGAAGAATAGGAGTTAAAGCTCAACTTGGCTCCCTAATGGTAAATAATCCAAGGGTTGGTTTTAAGAAAGTCCAAAAATGGCTCATTCCTAAGTGCCCTCTCATTCAATGCATTAAACCCATTTAAATACAGTCTTAACATGCATAACCGAGCAAGTTCTAGAATGACAAACCATGTGCACTAATCACTCAATCAAACGAAAAATTAAAAATTAGGCCCAAAAATCGCACAAGTGGTCAAATTTATGTCAAGTTCAGCATATTCATCAATCAATTCATCATCGAGGAAAATAGAGCACCCCATGGTATGAACTTGCTACTTATACTCGTATCTCAATTGCATTCATCACCGTTTAAAGAAGAAAACTACCAAGGCAAGGAAAAATTTAATCAGTCAACTAAAAACACAGCTAAAGCATAGTTAACCCTCCCCCACACCTAAACCTTACATTGCCCCCAATGTAAGCAAAGAAAGATCAAAACAGAGGTATTGGGCAACGATACTCCCCTTAAACGGAGGAGGGCAGAAATGAATCATGGCTGTGGAGGGAAAGGCGGGCGGAAACCCACGTGGTGGAGATATTGTGCCAAATTCTAGGCCATCCCGCCCATTTGGCGTTCCATCCGCTCCATACGAGTATCCATGTGCTGCATCTGGAATCGAAAAGCTGCAAGCTGGCTATCGGCGGAGGAGGACTTTGGAGGCGCCGAAGAAGACGGTCCGGGGGCATCCGTGGAAGGACCACCGGCCTTCGGGTCAGCGGATTTGGAAGCTCTGCGCTTCGGAGGAACGGAGATTGGCCCCGGAGGGCAAACTGGAAAGCGCCATTCACCTGTCGCACAAGACCCATTTTCTCCAAACAAACCAAATCAAGGGGTTCCATAATACAAGCACGATGTAAATTATGATTATTCAAGTCCAAAACCCTAAGATTTACAGCCAACTGAGTGATAAATGAGTCTAAGATTAATGGCTTATTTTTCTTACTTAGCACAGTTCGGAGGTGGAGGGCAAACCAGCTACCCAAATTGACCTTAGTCCGAGTGACCATGCACCAAATGAAAAAGAACTCGAGTTTGGTCAGAGTACCCGAGCTATACTTCCTACCTGAGAAACTATAGGCCATGAATCTATGTAAATAACGGTAGGCGGCGCTCTTAAGATAAGAAGCCTTAGACTGACTTGGGTCATAGCAGTGTCGGTCAACCGATAAATCTCTCCAATGACCAATGTAATGAGAGAAAAATGGCTCCGTGTACTCGCACACACTGTGCATATACTCCTCACTCTGAGAGTAGGGAACATCAATAAACCCAAGAGCCAAATTAAACTCAGTGATAGATTGGTTGAACTCTCTACCCATTAATCGAAACCTCACTACCCCAGGAGTGGTAACGGAGAATTCATCAGAAATATTAAATTCAAAAGTAGCATAGAATTCCCACGTGAGTTCAGTAAAAGCAGGTAGATTGATAGAAGCATAGCGAGTCCAACCTACGTCAGTCAAGTGCTGCGTGACCTCATCCCTCAGGTTTAGCATATCAAGTGTAGGGCCATGGATATATTTACAAGAAATTATCTTCCTTGTGCAAGCCGAGGCATACCGCTCCTTGTCGGCAGCCCGGGTGAAGGTCAAATTGCCGCCAAAGTGGGCCGGAGAGGAGATATGAACCTCCCTATTCCGCCCAAGGCGAGTCCGGGGTCCTCTTGACCCAGTCGATGGGGCAGGTCCCCCTAAGGGGATCGTAGGCTGTGGGGTGGAGGTGGAAGGTTTGCTCTTACCCTTATTTTTTGGTTTAGTCATTCGAAATCAGAGGGCAAGGTGGGGGCAAGGAAATGGTATTTCAAAGAGGTCAACAAACAGCCAACAAAGCAAATGGCAACTAAATATAGCTTCCAATCACAGACAAATGCAGAAACGGCCGATGAACACACCCCCAAAAATTAATTAAACCTGTCAGCAGCAAAATTTTCCCCAAATACTACAAATTCAACCCCAAAATCAAGTAATTAGGTAAACACAGCAATTTTTCCCCAAAAATTAATTAAGCAGGTAGTCAGAGTAAAAACATCCCCCAAATATCACCGGTTGAGTACAAAATTTCACAAACAGACCACAATGAATCACAGATATATTACAGCACCCAAAGAGCACAAAATCTCTGTCCTCAGCTAGCAAATTAAAAGAAATCTGGCCTCAGCTAATAAAGTAAAAATCTGTCCTCTGCTAAACAAAAATTAAGAATCTGGCCTCAGCTAAGTGACAGGAATTTGAAAAAGAAGTCACCGGAGTTTTTTTGTTTGACTGGCCGTGGGTGACGGCTGGCGCAGAGGGCGCAGTCGGCGCCTGGAGTGTGCCTGGCCTGCTGCTGGGATGACAGGCGCGCAGGTGCTCCTTCGCTGCTGGTCTGCGCGGCCGTGGGCTGTGGTCCGCGGCTGCGGCTGCTGCTCTGGAGCGGTGCGCCTGAGTTGCGCGAGGGTCGCGACTTTCGCCGCTACTGGGTTGCTCCTGGCGAGGAGCTGGAATCGAGCACGATGGGCACGCGCGCGGAGCGGCTTGGAGATCGCGCAGCTCCCTGAGCTGGCGGCTGTTGCTGGCGGTGCTCCGGCTGCGCGCGAGCTTGCTGGTGGACGACGGAGCGGTGGTGACCGTAGAGGGTGGACGAAGGCGGCGGCGGCGGTAGCAGAGGTGCGGCGGACAGCAAGTGAGACACGGCGGCCGTGCGGCGTGCAGGGAAGAAGAAAAAGAAAGAAAAGAAGGAAGAAGAAGAAAGAAAAGAAAGAAAGAAAGAAAAAGAGAGAAAGAAGGAAAGTAGGGCTACGGGTCCTTTAAAATATATTTCTTTCTTTTTGAATAAGGGCAATTTCGTCTTTTTGCCCTTTTTTTTTTTTTTTTGGTAAACGAAGAACTCCTGTCTTAGGCGTGGGCGCGCCTAACTGCTATAGAGTTCTCAGAACAATTCTCGGAAATTGAGTTCCGTCAGGCGTGACCACCTAGCATGGGCACGTTCAACTGCTATAGAGTCCTCAGAACAATTCTCGGAAATTGAGTTCCGTCAGGCGTGACCACCTGGCGTGGGCACGTCTAACTGCCAATTTCCTATCACCAAACATCAAACTATTAATTGACACTAACACTTAACTAAAACTAAAAAAAAATGTATGAAAACTGAAACAAATAGTCTTGGGTTGCCTTCCAAGTAGCGCCTTTCTTTAATGTCTTTGGCTAGACATGGCCAAAACCCTCAAGCAAGATAAAGTGGATCTTGGAGGTGTACAACTTCTACTTCTTCAACAGCGAATCCCTCATAATAAGGCTTGAGACGATGGCCATTCACCACGAACTTTTTCTCCGTTTTTAAATTTTGGATCTCCACTGCACCATAATGAAACACATTAGAAACGACAAATGGACCAATCCAACGAGAACGCAACTTACCGGGAAAAAGTTTAAGCCTCGAGTGATACAAGAGGAGTTTTTACCTCACTACAAAAGATTTTCTGGAAACCTGCTGATCATGAAAGATTTTACTTTTTTCCTTATAGATCGTGGCATTTTCATACGCTTCATTTCTTATCTCCTCTAACTCTTGTAGCTGCAATTTCCTTTGGACCCCTGCTTCGTCTAATCCTATGTTACACTGCTTCACTGCCCAAAACGCCTTGTGTTCGAACTCCACGGGAAGATGGCAAGCCTTACCGAAGACAAGTCTATACGGAGACATCCCAATCGGCGTCTTATACGCGGTGCGGTATGCCCACAGTGCATCTTCTAACTTTAAACTCCAATCCTTCCTATCTGGGCGCACCATTTTCTCCAAGATTGATTTGATTTTCCTGTTTGACACTTCGGCTTGACCGTTTGCCTGCGGGTGATACGGTGTGAATACCTTATGGAGCACACTGTATTTTCGAAACAGGGCTGTGATAGTCTTGTTACAGAAATGTGTCCCTCTATCACTTACCACAGCTCTTGGCATTCCAAAACGGATAAAAATATTAGATTTTAAAAACTCTGCAACCACTCTAGAATCATTAGTACGGGTGGCCTTGGCCTCCACCCATTTAGAAACATAATCAACCGCAAGTAAAATGTATAGGAAACCAAAAGATGAGGAAAAAGGACCCATAAAATCTATCCCCCAAACATCAAAAATTTCAACAAACAACATGGGAGTTTGAAACATTTGGTTCCTACGAAAAATATTCCCCACCCTTTGACACCTATCACAGGACTTGCAAAATGAATACGAATCTTTAAAAATGGTAGGCCAGTAAAAGCCATTCTCTAACACTTTGCGAGCTGTTCGCTTGGGCCCAAAATGCCCTCCACATGCAAATGAATGACAGAAATTTAAAATAGAGTGGAATTCACCTGCACTTACACATCTTCTTAGAACTTGATCCGAACATTGTCTCCACAGGTACGGGTCATCCCAGATGTAATATTTCGCATAACTCTTCAACTTGTCTCTCTAGCATTTGGCCACCCTGCAGGCAATTGATTAGTTACTAAGAAATTTACTATATCAGCATACCAAGGTGTAGATAAGTTAATGGCAAGGAGTTGCTCTTCTGGAAATGCCTCTCTCAATGGTTGCTCCTCTTTATGAGCAAGCAAGCGACTCAAATGATCAGCAACTAAATTTTCTGCCCCACTCTTATCTTTAATCTCCAAGTTGAACTCTTGAAGGAGCAGGATCCATCTGATAAGTCTTGGTTTAACATCTTTTTTTGTCATTAAATATCTCAAGGCTGCATGATCAGAAAAACTATTACTTTTGTACCTAACAAGTAAGGTCTAAATTTTTCTAGTGCAAAAATCACAGCTAGCAATTCTTTCTCTATTGTAGAGTAGTTGAATTGAGCTCCATTCAACGCTTTGGATGCATAGTAGATTGCATGTGCAGCTCTGCCAATCCGTTGTCCCAGCACCGCTTCCACTGCATAATCACTCGCGTCACACATTATCTCAAATGGGAGGCTCCAGTCTGGAGGCTGGATAACAGGTGGTGATGTCAATGACTCTTTCAACCTGTCAAATGCCACCTTGCACTCCTCGGTGAAGTCAAATACTACATCCTTCTACAACAGTTTGAACAAGGGCGCTCCAATTTTGGAAAAATCTTTGATAAATCTCCTGTAGAACCCTGCATGACCCAAAAAGGAACGCACCTCCCGTACACTTTCGGGGTAAGGTAAAACAGAAATAATATCGACATTTGCTTTATCCACTTCTATACCCCTGGCCGACACTACATGCCCTAAAACAATGCCATGATCCACCATGAAATGACATTTTTTTCAATTTAGAACTAAATTTGTCTCAATGCATCTCTTCAAAATTAAAGTTAGATTATCCAGGCATTCATCAAAACTATCCCCATACACACTAAAATCATCCATAAACACCTCAATAATCTTTTCTACAAACTCAGAAAATATACTTACCATACACCTCTGAAAAGTAGCTGGAGTATTGCAGAGGCCGAAAGGCATCCTCCGATATGCAAAAGTACCAAAGGGGCAAGTGAATGTAGTTTTTTCCTAGTCCTCTGGTGCTATCGCGATCTGGAAATAACCTGAGAAACCATCAAGAAAACAGTAGTAGACACGACCAGCTAACCTCTCTATCATCTGATCAATAAAAGGTAGAGGGAAGTGGTCCTTCTTCGTCACAGCATTCAAACGCCGATAGTCAATGCATTGGCGCCATCCTGTGGGTTTTCTCACCGGGACCATCTCACCCTCTTGGTTCTCTTCAACGGTTACTCCCGCTTTTTTCGGGATTACTTGCACTGGGCTCACCCAAGAACTATCTAAGATGGCGAAGATGATCCCCACTTCTAGAAGTTTAAGTATCTCCTTCTTCACCACTTCCATCATCAGTGGGTTCAATTTCCGTTGCGCCTGCCTCACTGGTTTTGCATTCTCCTCAAACCGGATCCGATGCATGCATAAAGAGGGGCCAATTCCCTTGATATCTGCTACGCTCCACCCAATCGCTTCCTTATGGTCTCGAAAAAGACGAATAAGGTCATCTTCTTGTCTTGGTGACAGGTGAGCAGATATGATGACTGGTAACGTCTCATTGTCTCCGAGAAATGCATACTTCAAGTGCTTCGGGAGAGGCTTGAGCTCCAACTCAGGTGCCTGCACAATAGAAGGCAACAATTTTGCCTGAGGAGTTTCTGGTACAAAGAGAGAAGTAAGCTCATACCTTGGGGAGAGTGGTGGGAGCGAATGCAGTGCTTCAACTGCACGGTATAGCTCATCACTTATTTCTACATCAAGAGTTGCTCCCAACTCGAGATGTTTGGCCAATGCCACTTCCAGTGCATCGCCCCTATTCAATTCAAATGTGTCCTGTACAAGAGATTCAATAATGCTCAAAGCAAAAATAGAGTTAGTCTCATCCGGGTTTCATCGCATCAAAAATATTGAAATTTACAATTTCACCATCAAACTCCATCGACAAAGTACCATCATTCACATCTATTTTCGTCCTAGCAGTGCTTAAAAATGGTTTACCTAGCAAAATAGGTGACGGATTTAATGCCTTTTCATCTCCCATATCTAAGACATAGAAGTCTGCAGGAAAAACTAACTCATTGACCTGTACCAAAACATCTTCAACTAACCCCTCTCGATAAGCATTGGTACGGTCTGCAAGTTGAATTATAATACCTGTGCCTTTTAATGGGTCAAGATTAAGAGAAGCATAGATTGTCTTAGGCATAACATTAATTGACGCCCCCAAATCCAACATTGCTTTCTTAATTGGGGTACCTCCTATCTTGCAGGGGATGGTGAACATACCTGGGTTTCCACATTTTGGTGGGAGTTTCCTTTGAAGTATAGCTGACACGTTCTCTCCCACCGCCATTCGTTCATCTCCCCTTAGCTTCCTCTTGTGGGTACACAAGTCCTTCAAAAATTTAGCATATTTCGGTATCTGCTTGATTGCATCCAACAGGGGAATGTTGATCTCCACTTTCCGAAATACATCCAAGAGCTCTTTTTCCTTCTCTACCTTCTTTGCCTTTTCCAACCTGCATGGAAAAGGGGGTAAGTTAGAGTTAGCAGTGAGTGGATAGGTGAAGATTACTTTAGAATCCTCACGAACACGTCCTTCCTCCTCAATTTCCTTTTCTATCTCCTCTTCACTGTTGCCTTTTGAGTTTCCCACTTTAGGCCCTTCCAGTTCCTTGCCACTCCTCAGCGTCATGGCACTTACATTCCTGGGATTTACCTCAGGTTGCGATGGCAGTTTCCCATAAACGTGGGACTCCAAGCAGTTAATGGCAGTTGCCAGTTGACTTATTCAAGCTTCTTGGTCCTTCTTGTCCGCTTTGATGTCCTGCTGGAGCTGCGCGGTATTTGCTGTCAAGGATCTGATCTCCTGATGAAGCTGAGTAGTAGTCGTGGCCAGGCTTTTGACTAGGTCCTCCAAGGAGCTTCCTGAATTGGAGGATGAGGGTTGAGATTTTGATTGCCAAGGCTGGTGGAATCCTGGTGGACGATTCGGGAATGAACTTTGTTGCCTGTTCCCATAACTGAGATTGGGATGGTCTCTCCAACCGGGGTTGTATGTGTTGGAGTACGGGTCATACTGCCTGCGGGGCGCGGGCACGCCTCCGGCCATATTTACCTGTTCCGCCCCGCCCTCTTGCAGAATGGGGCACGTATCCGTACAGTGGTCCATGCTAGTACAGATTTCACACACCTTTGCTCGCGGTGTGTCTCTCATGGCCAATTGCCTAACAGCAGACGTCAACTCTGACAGTTGCTGCTGGATGGATGACGTCTCTACCTCATTGACTCTACAGGTAGGATTGCTCTCACGGAAGCCGAACTGCTGAGAGTTCTCTACCATGGTTTCAATAAGCTCCCACGCTTCCCTCGGTGTCTTGTTCACCAGGGCTCCTCCACTCGCAGCGTCAATAATACTCCTGTCAGTTGACTGGAGCCCCTCATAGAAGTACTGGATCAACAGTTGTTCACTAATCTGATGCTGTGGGCATCTAGTGCACAACTTGTTGAACCTTTTCCAATAATCGTACAATGACTCTCCGGAGTACTGCTTGATGCTGCATATTTCCTTTCTTAAACTAGCAGCCCGGGATGTGGGGAAGAATTTTTCCAGGAATTTCTTTTTCAATTGTGCCCACGTGATGATACTACCTGCAGGTAGGTAGTATAGCCAATCTTTCGCTGCATCCTTGAGAGAGAATGAGAAATCTCTAAGTCTTATTTGCTCCTCAGTGACCCCAGGAGGTTTCATGCTAGAGCAAACTATTTCGAACTCCTTGACATGTTTGTGGGGTTCTTCACCAGAAAGACCATGGAACGAAGGTAAGAGGTGAATCAATCCCGATTTCAGCTCGAAGGAGGTATTCTCAGCCAGAGTTGGGAACGTGATGCACAAGGGTTGATGAGTCAGCTCTGGGGTAGCCAGCTCCCTTAATGTCTGGGTGTTGGCCATGCTAAATTCGTCTTCTATTGACTCGTTTGCAGAAAATAAGCGCCCTTCTTTTCGTCTCTTGGTCTCTTGCCTTCGCCTACGCGCTGCCTTCTCAACCTCAGGATCGTATACCAGTTCACTTGTGCGAGAAGAACGGGGCATAAACTAGCAAAAATACCAAGAAAAAGAAAAATAAAATGAAACAAATAAAAACTGAATTAAAAAAGAAGCAAATAATTCAAACGCCAGTCCCCGGCAACGGCGCCAAAAATTGACAGGTGTCGAACCTGTGCAATAATAATAAATAGAATCTAACTACCACCAAAAGTAGCCAATAATTAATTTTAGGTATTGGAGCAGGAACTCTAGGTGTGCAATGGGTTACTTGATTCACCCTGTTTTCGAAGAGTTTGCTTAATCCGATATACCCGAATTAATTATCTGACTAAATTTGCTAACTAGTAGACAGTGGCAAGCAGGGTCGTCTCCTCAGGGATTGGAGAGATATTTATTCCTTTCCGAATCAAGACAAATGGGGATGTTCACGATTAAATGCTAAAAATAAAGTAATTGCAGAAAATAATTAATTTAAAGAAATAATTGGAGAAACTCTAGTCAAGGGTATACTTCAGAAATGGTTCATGCACTGATCATCGAATCACAGATAATTCCAACATTTATTAATAGATTGGCTATAGTTGTCTCGCACGCGCTAAACAACCAACCCTTCCTTAATTTATCGATAGCTAAGGTACAACCGTTAGCTATTTCTCTAACCCAAAAACAACCCTAGGTACGACCGTAGGATTTAATTTCTAGATTGCATTAATAATTAGAAAGGCCCAATCCTAACTAACAAACACGCTACGAGGGTTTGTTTAAGCTAGATCGTATGCTCCCCTGACATAAACCCAATTACGCCAGTTGCTACTAAGGTAGAGATAACGAACAATTACGGATTCAATTACCTCTATTTAGCAAAATAGCCTACGTGAATAATCAATTATTGCGCACTAATCAATCATACATAAGGCTATAACAATTAAAATCAAGGAACATATAAATACCAATAAATGAAGAAAATAATTAAAAACGGTTTAGATCTCATAGTAATCGTTGAACCAATTCGTCAGTTGATCCCTCGGCTAGAATTAGGGGCTTAGTTCCCCATAATTAGAGAACAGGCTATGCGTGGGAAGTTTGGAGAAATTGTTGGATTTGCTCGTTCGATTTCGGCCAACAGAATGAAGAACGGAACGAAGGGAATCTATTGCTTCCAATCACAATCATGCGATGGAAACCTGATGCTCTCTACCAATCCGGTCCAAGCTACGGGAAAAGCAAAGATCCGCAGGTCCACAATCGCGACTGGACTTCCACTCGCTACCAAAGAAAGGAAAAGTCAACACAGCAGCCCTTCCTCTTAATGGTTTACAATAGCCTACGAGAATGTCTTTTTCTTATTCCTTCCATTCGGTCACAATAAAGACAAGCAATTCCCAAGGTCACAAGCAATGGCCTTTTGTCTCCTTATTGCTTACGAGAACCACGGCCAACCCAATTCAATTGATAGATTGGAAATTAGCAATTGCTCAAGTCAACAGAAGATGAAAAGCAATACTAGAAAATGTCAACAATGGTGGCTTTGTTCTCCCCCCCTTTACAAAGCTGCGGCGGCCACCTTTTAAACGCATCCCCCCTAAACCTAAGTCACGCGAGAATACTTAATTCTTCCTCGGTTGTGGTCCCCAGTTCCAGGAAGGGATTTTTTCCTTTTTTAGAAATTGTTCTTTTTCCCAAAATTAAAACAAGACTCTCTCAAAATATAATAAAATAAAATCTATTACAATTAGATTTCTTCAGTTTCTCAAACGGGCCCCACGTACGATGAATCTTCTAAAAGTGGAATTTAAGCACTTTTCAGCATCCATTCCTGCAATTAGCATCAAAACAAAATATCAGTACAATCCACCCAATTAATGAAAATATTTAGTCAATTAATTGTGCAATAATGCCCAAAATACCCACTAAAATGCACCATATCATAGACATTTCTCACGCTCTTGATCTTGCGAAGATTGAGACCAAGGTTTACAGTATGAAGACTGATACTTGGAGGAGGATTGATGATTTTCCGGGTCTTTTGCCTTTCTATAGTTGGGGAAAATATGTTAATGGAAAGCTCCATTGGGCTGGATATAGTGGTGACAAGGACAGAGGGATTATTTCTTTTGATTTGATTGAAGCAGAGTACAGAAAAGTGAAGCTTCCGACTAGGGGGAGAAGGAGCTTGGAGTCCAACACCAGGAGCATTGGGAAGATGCCTTTGTGTGACTTATGAGTATCACAATTCAGGTACTCTGGATTTATGGCTGTTAAAGGAGTATGAAATGAAAGAGCCCTGGACTAAGGTTCTTCATTTTCCAAGATTCTGTCCTCGCAATCCCATGCCATTGTGGATTTCGTTGAGTTACCCCAAAGTTATGAACATGGAATATTATATTGCTCAGGTGCAACCATCTATGTGGATTGCCTTGTTTCTGCAAATGCAAGTGACAAAGAAGAATTGGAAACGTTAAAATGAAATCCTTCGCTATTTGACTCATGATGTATTGCTAGAATTATAATCTTGCTTTATAGTCAGTTTGTTTGGATAGTAGATTATTTGGCCAAATATATTTGCTGACATCACCATTACAATTTCTAATATAATTTTTTATCTTTCCAATTATCTTTTCATCTCACATACATCACATTACAAAAAAGTGCTACAATAATTATTTCAAATAATACCCTATCCAAACAAACGTAGTGTTTGTTAACACGATGCCTCTGGAACAAACTTTTGTTATCTTCCAAATACTCTTTTAGAATTTGTTGGCTGCTTAACATTTGATACTTGATAGTAATTAATGTTTTGCTAGCAATCGGTTGTAGCAGCTGAATCAACTTGTAGTCACAAAATCAAGTCATATTGAACCAATGAGGTATTGTATAGTGGCAAAGGAGTAAGGGGTTTCAAACTTTCAATTTAGAACTTACAACTCCGTGTGTTTGAGTGGATTCTGGCTCGATCATTGGTCCGATACCTCCTTGGCAGCCACTGAACACAATACTGAGCCCCAATACACTTGAAAATTATACACGCTCGATCTAGAAGTAGCTTCTTGACATGTTTGTCATAACACTAAGTTTGTATAATTTCTCATTGGGTTCATATTCACAATTAAACAATTGTGTGGGCACATACAAATAAAACTTAGGACAAAGTACACTTTACCCCTTATGATATAATTAATTTTCACATAACCCCTCTAGTTTTAAAAACTATATATAATCTCTTCATAGTTTGTATTAAAGTGTCAAAGTAATGGAAATGATCATTCATAACGAAACCTATAAAAATATCGAAATTATCCTTGTTTAAAAACTGAAATAGTTTAAGTGACCAAAATATATAAACATAATATGCATGATACTCTAACCCCATTTGATTTTATATTTTATCATATAACCCCCTTATATTTTAGTGCTCTACCATATAACCCCCTTATGATTTTCAATAGATATATATAATCCCTTGTGGTTAATAAATAATTTTTAATTTTATATAAGAGTATTTTTGATATTTTAGTTGACTCTGTTATGAATTGCAAATTTCGCCACTTCGACACTTTAATCCAAATGTGATGGGATTATGTATAACTTTTGAAATCATACGAAAATTATGTAATAAAACACTAAATCACAGTGGAGTAAATTGTAGGGCCTGTTTGGCACCCTAGTTTTTTACCAAGTTTTTTAGCTACTAGTTTTTTAACAACTTTTGCTACAGGAACCCCAAAAAACTTCCCAAAGTTTTTTATTTACATACTTCAAAAATCTATACACAAAAAATTTTCCAAAAACTTTTCTTCCTCCCTCACCCAACCCACCACACCAGCCACCACTTCCACCACCTCTTCCGGTGCCGGTCACCTATTCCGGCGCTTGTAACCTCAAAAAAAAATTTTGAGTCCCTCATCCTCACCCCCTCCCCTCCCCTCCCCTCCCCTCCCCCTCTTGCTAGGTGCGATTTGGTCGCGCGACTAGATGGCAAAGGGGGAGGGGGAGGCGGCTGCGATCTAGTCGCGGTCTGGTCCCAGATCGCAAAGCAGAGAAAAGGAGGGTGGCGGAGAAGGGAGAGGGGAAGAGGGGAGGGGAGGGAGAGAGAGAAAAAACAAAAAAAAATGCACAACTGCCGGCCTTCCTCGGGCGTCGGAGTGCGAGGGAGAAGGGAGAGGAGAGGGAGAGGAAAGAGAGAGAGTGGGCAGAGGGGCTGGCGGGGGAAAGGGGAGGAAAGGGGTGACGAGGGAGGGGGGGAGATGAGAAAAGCAAAAAAAAAAAAAAAAAAGAACAGAGGTGCTACTGGCGGAGGTGCTGGAGGTGGGAGGCAGAGGAGAGGTAACGGGGAAGGAAGAAGAAGAAGAAGAGGAGAGGAAAGAAAAGAAAAAGGAAAGAAAGAAAAAGAAAAAGAAAGAGAAAGAGAAAAAGAAAGAAAAAAAAGAAAAGGAAAAAAAAAATTTTTCACTCTACAAAAATTTCTACAAAATTTTTCACATTCCAAAAACTTCTACAAACACAAACTTCTATAAAATTTTTTCAAAAACTTCTACAGTGTACTACAATAAAGTTTTAGACAAACTCTCAAAAAACTCAGGTTCCAAACAGGTAGGGCCTGTTTGGAAGTGAGTTTTTTGACCAAGTTTTTTATCTATTAGTTTTTTAACAACTTTTGCTACAGGAACCCCAAAAAACTTTTCAAAACTTTTTACCTACACACTTCAAAAATACACAAAAAAACTTTCCCTTCAAACTTTTTTTCTTTTTCCTCCCCCACCCAACCTACCACATCCTCCGCCGCCGGCCACCACCTCCACCACCACTTCCGATGCCGGTTACTATTCCGGCAGCCAGTTCCGGCCATATACAAAGTTTTTTTTTCTTTCCCTCCCCCCTTCCCTTTTCCCCTCTGCCTCCCCTGCCCCCTTCCCCCTCCCCCTTTTAGGCAGTTTTTAAATCCTTCATTTTAAAACACAAAAAATGAACATGGAATTCCAAGAATCGAACGAGCAAAATCATAGCCCAGAAAAAGCAAAAAAGGGGAAAAAAAGTCCAGAATGGAGGAATTTGACATCAAATTCAAAGTGATGGTTTCCTTATTCAACTGGATGCAGAAGAGCAAATCCTCAGTGACGAAGCGTTCCAAGTTCCGTAAATTCCTCGATGCTTTTTGCCGGAAACTGGGGGACTATTTTAGCGCCGTCCGCGGGGTGGCAGGAGGAGGGTGTCGTGTTGGAGAAAGGCCAGGGGGTGGCAGGGGAGGGGGTTGCGTAGGGGAGGTGGCGGGAGAAGCTGGGGAAAGGGCAGGGGAGTGCGGGGAAGGGGGTCGCGCTGGCAGAGGAAAGACAGGGGGGTGGCGGGGGAGGGGGAGTGGCGGGAGAAGTTGGGGAAAAAGCAGGGGGTGGCGGGAGAAGCTGGGGAAAAGGCGGGGGTGGCGGGGGGTCAGGGCAGGGGGATGGCGGGGGAGAGGGTCGCGGTAGCAGAGGGGGAAGGAGCACAGGGGGTGGCGGGGGGGAGGGGGACACGGTGGCAGAGGGGAAGGGGCACAGGGGGTGACGGGGGGGAAAGGGTCACGGTGGCAGAGGGGAGGTGGCGGGAGGAGAAGGGGAAAGAGAGGAGAGGGGTGGCGGGTGTGAGTGCTGCTGGGAGGTAACGGGGAGGAAAGAAAGAATGAAGAAGAAGAAAAAGGAAGAAGAAGAAGAAGAGAGGAAAGAAAAGAAAAAGGAAAGAAAGAAAAGAAAAAGAAAGAGAAAGAGAAAAAGAAAGAAAAAAAAGAAAAGGAAAAAAAAAAGTTTTTCACTCTACAAAAACTTCTACAAAATTTTGCACCTTACAAAAAAATTTTTCACCTTATAAAAACTTCAACAAAATTTTTTCAAAAACTTCTACAGTGTATTACAGTAAAGTTTTAGACAAACTCCCAAAAAAACTCAGGTTCCAAATAGGTCCATAAAATACCTCCTGTGAGGGAGACACTCCCAAATTTACATCTTAAATTATTCAAAATCGTCACGAGTTACGGTATCCCTTTAAAGTTATTGAGCTTGCTGAAATGAGTCAAAGTTATTCTACAAACTTGGCAAGCATTCTACAAGTCTTAGCAATGTATTATAAAAGATTGGTATGTATGGCTAAACGGGATCCTCTGTCCATTATATCTATTCATTTTTTCTGTTCAATGCAAAACTACGTAGTTCCACTTATTATATATCGCTGATGTGGCACATAACATTAGGTACATATTTAAGGGATGTTTGGTAAATGTGTTTCAAATTCAATAATATCCTAATTGTACCCATAGTCTTCTACTTTGAAATTTCACGCCGCATGATTCAAATGAGATTAGGCAAGCATTTGAAGATGAGATTTTTGAATTTGTCAGAGTTTCAGTTACGTGCAGTTATGTTGATTCAGAAAATAGGCCATCCATGCAAAATTAAATTTGAAACACATTTAACAAACACCCCCTAAATATGCATTCAATATTATGTGACACATCAACAGTATTAATAAGTGAAACTACGTAATTTTACATTAGACAGGAAAAATGAACTGATATAATGGACAGAGAGTCTCGCTTGATGTATGGTTGCTAAGCCACACAAGGTATGCATGTTGCTATTTTTCTAAGAACGTTGAGCAAAATTATTTGTTGGGCCCTATAATAATCATATCCAAACAACAGGCCCTAAGAAATAACAAAGTCTGATGGACGATCATAACCGGATAGAGATTAAAAGAACAAGTCATGAATTGGCTAACTCAAGAAGTTTGATAACTTAGAGGAAAATTTTCATAAAAAAAAAAAATTAGAGGAAAATTTTGAGGATCACGATTATAGAAGTGAAGAGGCAATCACAAGAGAGTGACCATGAATTTTCCAGATAAAAATAACAATTTAATTTTTGTTTTCTCATGCTTTAGTGATAGTCTTTTAGTTAGCAATTTCCTTTCCAAGTCTAGTTTAACTTAATAGTCGATTAAGGATCAAGATAAAGCTTTATAGTCGATTGTTCTCAAGGTACAACTTCAATTCTAGTACTTGTAACTAGTGGAGTTTTTCTTCATTATTTCTTCGTGTTCTTCTGAATTTGCTTAATTCTTTTCACAGAACCCCAAATCCTGGCCATCAAAATCCCAAGAGATCACTATTACTGTCCCAAGTATATGCCCTCGTCATCTTCTCCTCGATGCTAAAAATGCCAACCCTCAGAGCATTCCTAGAAATGAGAATTGGTTGGGAAATGGGAAATCAATAATTTATTAAATTTGAATTTTGAATTTCATGATAATTTTTTTAAAGAAAACTTTTGACATTTTTTGTTTCATCATTAAATACCTTTTGGGTTTATTATCAAATTCGATTAATATTTGGAATCAGAAAGTGTTGGGCCAAATATTGGACCAAGAATTAGGCCTTTTATCAAAAGCAGTATTCCCTCGTTACTCTAGCAAACTTGGACATTACTACATTGAGGGCACTGGTATTGACCTATTTGTGTATTCTAACTAAGGGAATATCCCGAACAATGCGCTGGCCCAGGTCGATGTTTTTAAATATTAGATAGTTAGTTTAGTGGTAACTTTTAACAGGTGAGTAGTTTTTAAAATTATAGTGGTAACTTTTATAGTGGCATTCATTTAATTACAACGGTGTTTTTTAGTATTATTTTTTTTTCATTGGTTGTACTTGAAAGAGTGGAAAAATCAATATTTGGGGAAATGTTATTTTTTTCATTAATATTAGTAAAATCAATTTCTTTATTTTTTAGTTGTATTACTGCATTTTTTCATTGTTTTTCGATATTATTATTTTTAGTAGTTTTAAATTGTTGAAGTAATTATATTATTATTATTATTATCATGTTTAGTAATATTACTGGTATTGTTATTATTATTACCTATTTAGTAAATTTTATATACACTGACGGAGTATACACTATCACGGTTGGATATACGACATATATGCAAAATTTGAGTTTCGAATTGAAATTCGAATTATGTGTCATGCATCTAATGATGAGAGTGTATACACTGTCAGTATATAGAAGATTAATCCTTAGTATTATTAGTAATGTTATTATTAATGTAATACTAATATAGTAACAATATACTAATAATTTATTATTAGTAATAATGTACTAATAATATTATAATACAGTAATAATGTACTAATAATATATTATTAGTAATAATATAGTAATAATTTTTTATTAGAAATTATTAGTAATAATAATACTAATGATAATAATAATAATAATAATAATATTATTATTATTAGTAATAATACTAATGATTTTAGTAACCATTATAGTAACATATTAACTGATATTAAATCTCAACACAATAGCCATTACGAACTTTGATAATTAATCAGGGATTTCCTGTATCCAATTTCGAAGGATTTTTCACAGCGCAGAAGCAGGAGCAGTACAAAACAAATGTACACAACCACTACCCCCTCAAAGGTACAATACCTTTAAGCAAGGAGAAGCACCCCAAAGTACAACCCATTTAAGCAAAGTTGCACTTGTAAATCTCTCTACTGTGGAAACGGAAAGTGCTTCTTATGTATTAAGCAAGCAAGGATTTCAAGGCCACTGGTCCCAATACACATTGTCCAATCCAAAAAAATCCACCAAACATGCCAACAAATTCCTCAATATTCCACGATGAACAAGATCAAAATAATAAAAAGGTGGTCACCAATGAGCATATCCAAACACAAAATGAAGGGTGAAGAAAGTTAGTCTTTGACCATAACAAGCAATTGCATTCCAATTTCATCAAACAAGCATCTAGTGGCTCCCTGCTTCATCAGTTCATTGTGAATTCAACATAAAATACTCACTGTATGATATAAAAATTAGGTAGAGCTCAATAACTAGAGGCAATGGCAAAATGCTAGCTAGCAATCAGGGTCAGATTGCTACATTAGTTCAAAAACGTAATCTAGAATACAAAATTAGAAGGTTCCAATGTGAGGCAAAGCTTGGCAATCAACTTCTTGCTTATGGTGAACGAGACCCTCCAAAGTTCCAGCTGAGTGGTCTTCAAGTTATAGACCTGAACCCCCATTCCTTTGAGCACCAATTCCCCAAAATATCTAAGGCAAAGAAAATGCTTTCAGGTTCAAGTTCAAACAGGATTTACCAAATGAAAATCCTAGCTTAAGATGCTACGAGTGGTCCGTTGCAAAATTAGCAATTAACAGTACTAACGAGTTTGAATCCAAGTTAGCACTAGAATTAAGACAACAACGCGCAATGAGTTTCGAGAGGACAGCAAATGCCCCTTCCCGGATTTTACAGAGCTTTGCAATTTATGAAACAGCAGATTAAGTAGTTTTCGACTAGCTATATGTCTTGAAGCAAATAGAAATACAACAGGTGTCATCTCAAAAATGAATGGAGCAATTGTATGAAAAGCTGGAAATCATTAAATAGACTTACAAGTTGCTGGAAGTACAAGTAACGTGATCCAAATTGTGCTCAAGAACTCAAATTTGAACTCCTGATAAGGACTTTGATATCTCCATATTCTTCTTCAATCCTCTTTGCAGATTCTTCTGCAGATCTTCCACACCAATGCACTTCAATCATTCCCAATGTAGGTATGTTTCCAAAGTCCTCTGGAATTTCTTCAAGGTCTTTGCAATTTTGTAAGATGAGTCTTTCAAGCTTGGGAAAATCATCACAAGAGGCATTCCATTGAGCAATGTTCAGACTGTCTAAGCTCAAGAACTTGAGATTCTGAAACTTTTCTTCCACTTTCCATAGTTTCCCCACAAAGGCACCAGAAAGTAACTTGAGGACTTCCAGGTTTGGTAGTCTCCCAATTGTGGAGATATGACTCCATGGAAGGCGAAAGTTTGATAAAGTCAATTTCTTTAGATTCAAAGGAAGGTTGAACTCGCCATTGTTAAGAGGGCTTCCATAGTAGAATATCCTGAGTGACTCCAAGTGAGTTAGACATTTCAATCTCGGAAACTGATTGCAGTTTGTAGAAGAATCTGGTGATTCATAGAATATGCAACTCAATTTGCGAAGGTTTGGAAGCCTCCTTATTATCCTTTCTGCATCCTCACCACAAGAAAAAGATGGGCAGGAAAAGTTGACCAAATTTTCTAATACAGAGCTATCGCCAAGCTTTTCATCATCTGAGTCAAAAGCAACATGGACACTCACATGAAGATGCCTTAAACTTATGATGCGCCAGATAGAATTTGGTAAGCTGATCTTACCACTTAATCCCTTCACAATAAGACTTTTCAGTTTCCTGAGGTTGGCTATCGATTGTGGAATGGATTTCAAATAGCCTCCAACTGCTAAATATCTCAATTGTACCAGAATTCCAATTTCCAGGGGAAATGAAATACCCAAATTGAAGCACTCAAAATCCAAGACTCTAAGCAATTTGAAGTTGTGCCAAATGAATGAAATGTCATAAGGGCGTTTGGGTTCTGAATCTGTAGAAGCAAAGAAAACCAAAGAACGGGTGGCCAAGCCAGAAGGTTTTGATTCAATAAAGTGGCTTCTCTTCAAAGATATAGCCAACCGATAGGATGCAAATGACACGGGAGATGAATGATGGTAAAAATCAAATTCGAAACCATAATCTGTATTAGGAAAAGAAGCATATGGATTATCAGACCTGGTTATCAGCTGAAAGAAGTTCTCATCCTCGGTTTGAGACTTACAGAAATCAAGGACAAGATCGTGGAGGCGACATGCTCTAACTTTGCCGTTGGATCTTCTTTTGGAGATTATCACCAAGCTTCTGTCAATTAGATCCATCAAGAAAGCCTCGGCCACATCTTCAGAGCCCTTATTAGTTTCTGGTATGAAACCTTCTGCGATCCAAAACCGTATCAGCTTGCTGACAAGAACATCTCTGCCTTCATTAAGAACTCCCAAATATAGAAAGCATGATTTAAGATACTCCGGCAAATGTTTGTAGCTGAGATTTAAGACTTCTTTGCACCTAGCTTCGGGATTATCAATTATTTGTGAGCTCAAGTTATCTGCGATTGTTTTCCACGAATTTTGGCTTTTTTCTGTCGTTTTCAGTATACCAGCAACCGCAACAACAGCAAGAGGCAATCCTTGACAGTGGTAAGCAATTTCCTTTCCGACTCCCTGCAGCTCACTGGGGCAACATTTTTCCTTGAATACCTTCTTTTCTAACAGCTGCCAACTTTCCTCATGAGAAAAAAGGCTAAGAGAAAGAGGAGGACTGTCTGGTTTAATTTCCGAGGCCACTCTGTGGAGGCGACTGGTGAACAGAATTCGACTTCCATTTGCATCATCTGGGAATGAGTTTTTCAAGTCATTCCAAGCTCCAATACCCCAAACGTCATCCATAACTACGAGATACTTGTTTTTCAGTAACAACTTACGCAATTTATCTTGGAGATCTTCATCCCTCATTTGGCGAATCTCTTCTGTAAGCCCATGAATCCCTGTTAGAATTTCGAGCAACAATCTCCTTTTCTCATATTCTTGGGAAACAGAGCACCATGCACGAAGATGAAAGTGACGCATGACTTTAAGACTGCTGTACACCTTCCTCGCCAACGTTGTCTTGCCTAAACCAGGCATTCCAGCAATAAAAACAATATCCAGCTTTGAGGATCCTCTAGTCAGCTTGTTGAGAATTTCATTGTCTCTGTTACTGAGATCCACCACAATTTCGTCAATTGCTGATGTATTTTTTGTTGATAACTTGTCAACTGAAACCGGGGAGACATTGTTGGAATCTTGGACTTCCGCACCAGTTGTTGTCAAATGAATACCCCTGGCCTCCTCGCTAAGAAGTCTGAGCTCCTCCAGCAAATTGGCTAACCAGAAGAAATCCTGCCATTGAGCATGAACCTCAATTGAATCAACAGTGTACTCCATTTTGTATGCTGAATCAGTGACTCGATCAACAAGATCTTGTAGATTTGGATGCTTTGCAACGTCCAACTCCGAAACATTCTCAACAAATGACCTCAATGACTTGAGATGTATTTGAATCTCTTCCATGTGGTGCTTCACCGGTGCAGTTGAGGCACGATCATATCTCAGAAGTTCCCCAAGGTTTCTCCAAAGAAAATCAAAGAAATCCAGTTTGGAAGTCTTTGGAAAATTTAACTTTGGAAATTTAGGAATAATATCTGTGAGCTTTACCTTGATCAAATGCACCACATTATCTAACTGCTCAGAAAATGAAAGGTTGGTTATTTCGTCTTGTGTGTTAAGGAAATAGTATGAGAAACATGTCAGCATCCTAAAAGATTCTCCAATTGCTCCTAATATGTCCTCTTTTTCCTTAACTCTCTCATCTGACAGGATTAGTGTGATATACTCAAGCTTCCGAAGGTGGACTTTAATTTGATCTTCCCCATGAGCCATAAGTCTTTCATCATTCTTGCTCTTCAGAAGTAATAGCTCGTTCAGAAACGACTCTCCCTTGAAAATCACAATCTTAAAATGAAGTCGCAGAAGTGAGTTTTTTGCCACGGACTCTGTGATTTCCTTGCGCCTAGATGACTCAAAAAGAGATTTTTCCTCCTTGAATGTTGACTCAATCAGTGCCAACAACTTTTTCCTATCTAATCTCGTTTCTGGGGACAACTCCTCAGAATATGTACCCAGTCTTCTGGGGATTTGTCTGCAGTTGTCCATGATATCTTTATAATCGGGAAGCATGATGGAGGAAAGGGAAGAAGTGTTTGTATTGCTTTTCATGCTATGGATTTGCACCACGAGGAAAAGCTCTGCCTCGAGAAGACAAATCTTTGTAAGTAACTCAGAACACCGAGATGAGTTGTCTAGTTCATCCCCCTTACGACCAGTTGACTCGAATAGAGAAGTGATCTCTACTAGCACTGCCTGAATTTCTGGAATGAAACTTCGTGCTGTGTCCTCATCATCTAGTATATGAGTCGTGTAGCAAAAAAGTTTTAATAAGGAAGGCAGCTCTTCTCGAAAATGTCCATTTACGTAAAACAACAGATAGTGCCGAAAACTCCGTAGAAAATCCTTCAACACAAATTTCTCAGTACAGCAGAGAGCCATGAGAAAATTGAGAATGCAACCCATGAATTTGGGATTACCAGGATGAATTTCAAGATGCAAATTCACCAGGAACTCAATTTGCTGTCTTTTCTTTTTTGCCACTGACGCTGTGGTTTCCTTCCGCCAAGATGACTCATGAAGAGATTTTTCCTCCTCGAATGCTGATTCAATCAGTGCCACCAACTTTTGCCTATATAATCTCGTTTCTGGCGGCAGCTTCTCGGAGTATTTGTGCAGTCTCTCAGGGATTCGTCTACAGTCATCCATTACTGAATCGGGAAGCATACCACAGGAAAGAGAAGTAGTGTTTGTGTTCCTTTTCATGCCATGGATTTGCACCACAAGAAAAAGCTCAGCCTTGAGAAGACAAATTTTTGTAAGTAACTCAGAACACCGAGGTGACTCAATTGGAGATGCCATCTCTACTAGCACAGCCTGAATTTCTGGAATGAAACTTCGTGCTGTGTCCACATCATCTAGTATACAAGTGGAGTAGCAAAAAAGATTTAATAGGGAAATCACCTCTTCTCGAAAATGTCCATTTACATACAAGAAGAGATAGCGGCAAAAACTCCGCAGAAAATCCTTCAACGCAAATTTCTCGGTGCAGCAGAGAGCCATGAGGCAGAGAGCCATGAGGAAATTGAGAAGGAAATCCATGAATTTGGGATTACTAGGATGAATCTCAGGGCGCAAGTCCACCAGGAATTCAATCAGCTCTCTTCTCATCACCTGGATTCGGCCTGCCTCGCAATTTAACCAGTACTCACGACACCGGTTTGCAATTCGTAGGGCCAGGGATAAAACATGGCCAACGCAAGCATCAAAACTAGGCAGTCCACGTGCACGCCAACGATGTTGAGTATGTTGTAGTACATCATCCGTTGTTGCTCCCGGGATTTTACGGGCATGAGAAAATAATGAATCAAGGTAACTTTGGATGTACCCTATATTATCATACAAGGAATCTCCATCACCACAGTGATTAGCTGCCATAGTCTCGATTGCGGACACAGTTGATCGTACATATCGTAGTAAATGTGTGTAAAAGCAATCAAACACAAATGAGCTGCTGCCGCTGCCGTCTCCGCCTCTTGACCACATCATGTACAGATGGTCAAGAGCTTCTTCAACTTCAGCACTCAAGCGCATGGTTTTTGTTGCACAATCAAGGGCTAGTTCGTTTAGGGATTCTTCATCTTTTACCCGGTGATCATCCACCATCTTTTCTTCACGGAAACGAATAAGCTCCAGGGCCATCTCCTCAGCTGTAGCTTCAATCCTGAGGCAGAAGAAGTGCATATTCTTCTTCTCCTCATCTGTAGCGGCATGATCACTTCTCTTATGAGCGGATTCCCAAAGTTTTTTCAAAATATTACAATCATCTCTGACTCTTGATAGGATCTCCGAGGGATACTTTATGCATTTCAGTGCAGCATTAAGGCGATCCAAGCTTGTAGAACCAGCACGAGCGGCAGAAGCCATCATCTCCAAATTTTCTGCGACAGACAGGTTAGTATAAAGTATGTTAATGAGAATATCGATACAGTTGCAAAAAGCAGCAGCTAATAAAATTATGCTCAGAGTTCATACGCAATCTTTTTATTTATTTATTCTGTAACGTAATGAAAGATACATTAAATTAGTCAAAAAGTTAATTTTTTTTTTTATTTAGGAGTGTTCCGACCTTACACTTATTACTTAAATTGAATAATTGAAAACATTGCGGTGGAAAAGAAAAGCTAAATGATTGTTTCCAAGCCATAGAGGAAAGAAAAAGGGGTAATTGATCGCCAAAAGCTGTACAAGAGACCCACCAAGTCACCTAATAGTCTTTTCTAGTCAAAATAAATAAAAAAAATTAAAATTACGTGATTTCAAATTTAGTTACAATTACAAATGATGACATGTTCCAAAATTACATGTAATCGTTATCAATTAAACCAACTAATTTCACCCTTATTTGCTTTTGGTCTGTATATGAATTATCTTTTATATATATTGGGTCCGATTGTCAAATTTTATGGGACATGTAAATTCTGTTTAATAAAATTCGTGAGAGGACTAGAGAAGGAAAGGGGAAGAATGTAAGAGAAAAAAAAATAGAAAGGATAAAACAGAAAAACAAATTAAATAGAACAAAGCTTAAAAAAAAAGGTGCAATGTGCACTTATTGGAATCCACCTGTAAAAGCCTAAAAGGTCGGAAGCTCCTCGAGCGAGAGTGGTGAAGGACAACTAAGGTGCGTGAAGCGTAAACCACAAGACAGAATGTTTTGGCAACGGGCTTACGCGGTAAGATGGAAAAAGTATACTCCTTCCGTTCCACTTTGATAGTTTTGATTCTTTTTTCACACAATTTAATAAAAAATAGTTAATTTTGTTGGAACAATCAATTTAGGTAGCTATTTTTCTAAAATACCCTCACATTAATTAGAATATAACTTTATGGAAACTTGAATTGATGGTAAAAAAAGAACCAACTCTCATTAAATGAGATAGATTTATAGTAACAATAACTTACATTGAATAAGGGTATTTTAGGAAAATTAAAATACAACTACATTTTTCAATTGGAAAGTGGACTATAATTTGGGACAAATGAAAAAGGAAAACAAGACTATCAAAATAGGACGGAGGGAATATGTGCAAAATTTAAATCTAGGGTGGGCTTTAAATGATTTCCATAAAAGTTAAATGTAAAGTACATAGAAAACATAAAAATTGGACGGTAACGTTGAAAAGAATAATTCAAGTCATATTATTGAGAAAGCTATCTCCAGTACTGTAAGTCCTGTTATTCTTTAAATCAACCCTTCTTTTGGCTAAAAAAGCCTGTCAAAAGCACAATCAACCAACTGACTAAAAGATGGGGGAAAACCGAAAAAGAACACATCATAACGGAAATAGAAAGGTCAGAAAATTGGAGCATGGCTAGAGAGAGAGAGTGCCCCGGTGTTCGACATTTCTCTTTGTCCTATTTGGTTTTTTATCCAAATGAAAATGTTAGAATTTGCTTTGGTTTAGGAGTTAAGTTCATTTGACTAGGCTAGCAAAAATTTTAGACCAAAAGTGTTCAAAGTAAATTTTGGCTTGAAGGAAAACTTTGTTCATCTTTGTACAACATGATTAGTACAGCTAAATATTCTTAGGCCTCCCAACAATTATTTTGTCTTCCATGACACTAGAATTTCTCCATCCGTAGACGCCATTTACATTTCCAATCCTTTTAGGCTTTGTTTGAATTAAAAATTTTGATAAAGGATTTAAAATCTACCTATATCGCTCTACTTGTTTGAAGAGGTATTTGGGTTTGTAATTTGCCAATTATTTAAGTTTGGATTGTGAATTTTTCCCAAATAATATTTTGCTTACATTATAAACACATTTTCCAACTTATCTTTTTATATTTCATACTATCTTTTTATCTCGCAAACATCATATTATAAGTGCTACACTAATTATTTCAAATAATATTTCAAATAATATTATATTTTAAACAATAGAATAGTTGGTGATTTACAAGTCCAAATGCCCCTTAGGTAATCTAAACAACTAGAGGAATTTGAAAGAATTTTGAATCGTTCATCAAATTCTTCAATCCAAATGCAACCACAGAACCTCAAAACCTTGCCATCAAAATTCCAAGGTATCACAATATATGCCTCTGTAGTCTTCTTCGAGATGCTAAATTGCTAACCCTAAAGTACTCCTAGACATGAAAATTGGTCTGGAATTCATTAAGTTACTCGATTAAATTTTGAATTTCACAATAATTTCATTTAGAAAATCTTTTATCATTTTTTTTAAAAACAATGGGAGACTCCAAACTTTACAAGAAAGAAGAGAAAAATGGAAAGACTTGAGAGTCGAATCACTGACCCCATCGTCCATCTGTTTGACATCTCTACTAACTAAACTAGGTCTCGAGCACACTCTTACATCCTTTTTTTGCTTCATCATTACATGATTTTTTGAATTTTATACCAAATTTGATTAAAATTTGGTGTCAAAATGTGTTGGACCAAATATTAAATCCAAAATTATCTCATTATTAGATCCAAACAAACCCCAGCAAACATGGATAGCACTAGAGTAGCGCCACTCTTACTCACCCAATTTTATTCTAGTTTCAAGGCTCTTAGGCCCAATAAACATTTTCCAATCTAAAGGATCCATCAAACATGCCAACAAGTACCTCAATCTTTCATGATGAACTAGGTCAAAGAACTCAAAAAGGGGCAAAAAAAAAAAAAGATTAAGGTCACTAATGAGTACAATCAACACAAAACCAAGGAAAAATAGAGGTGGTTTTTTATTATAACAAACAATTGCATTTCACTTTCATTAACCAACCATAGATAATACATCTAGTAGCTCCCTGCTTTGTCAGTTCATCATGAATTCAACATAAAACATCCCACAATTCGGCATAAGAAGTTGGCACAGCTCAATAGCTATAGAAGGCAACAGCAAAATCCTAGTTAGCACTCATAGTCAGATTGCTAAACCACTGAGCTTTGGCTCAGTGATCACAAAAAAGGGACTAAATTCTATTTTGGACTATAGATCGGAGGTTTGAATTCCACTTGCAGTGAAAAAATCCCAAAGAAGTGTCATAGCATCCTTTGATCTAATTAGGTCTATATATTGGTTTAGTCAGATCTGTGTATCTGTTAATCCCTTATACAACCTTTTTAGTTCCCCTCCCTGTAGAATATGATATGCTAGATTATAGGAATGTTATATATTGTGTCAAAAACAAAATCTAGCATATACAATTAAAAGGTTCCAATATAAGGCAAAACTTGGTATCAAGAATGATAATTTCAGCCTCCATTCCATTAGCACCAATTCCTCGTGATATCTAAATCATGAGATTTTACAAATCGAACCTAAAAGAAGGCCAAAAAAAAAAATGCTGTCAGGAGCAAGATTCATAAATGGTTTACGTGATCATAATCATAGATTAAGAAGTTAAAAGTGGTCAAATTTTCTCTCTTTGAAAATTTTTTAATAAATAAGTTGGGGTCTATGCTCAACCCTCCACTATTTTCAAGTGATATTTTTTTTTTTTTAAAAAAAAGTGGTCAATTGTGAAATTAGCAATTAAATTCTAAGTTACTATTAGAATTACGACTAGCACCCAATACGTTTCAAGAGGAAAGCAAATGCCTTTCCAGATTTAACAAAGCTTTGCAATTTATGAAACAGCAGCTTAAATAGCTTTCAACTAGTTATATGTCATCAAACAAATACAAATTCAAGAAATATCTCCTCAAGATGAATCGAGCAATTGTGTAACTAGCAGGGACCTCATTAAATAGACTTGCAAGTCAGTGACAGAATAAAGTAACGTGATCTAAATCATGCTCACGATCTCAAATTTGAACTCCTAATAAGGACTTTGATGTCTCCATTTCCTTCTCCAATCTTCTTTTTCTGCCTTTTTCCGGTTATTAAATCACCTCAAGACCATGCAATTTTTTTTTTAATGTTTTAATACCTCAATTTTGAAGAAAAAGGGATTTTGCAAATAAATTTAATTTTGTTGATTGCACACGTACACATCGAATGTGCATTGATCACTTGTATTTATTAGGGTTATAATAGGAGAAATGAAGAACCTTTTATTAGGAATTTGAAATTTGAAATTTGAGAGATTATTATACGTTTGTTTTCTTAATTGTAGATTGATTATGTACACGACTTTTGGAATACACTTGTTATTCTGTTAGCTGAACCTATATCTTTAATTAGGAGAATTTCAGATATTAACTTTTATCTTTACAAAATTATATCTCTAGCTCCATACCTGGATGCTGTGACTGGACATAAACTCAGAAAGTATAATTTCAACTTTGGCTTGTACTTTTGTGGTTAAGAATTTCCTTTTCCTCTATAACATGAGAAACCAAAGTTTTTTTTTTTTTTTTTGGTAAGAAAAATTTTGGATGGGGTCAGTTCCAGTTACTATCATCAGTCAGAGCATGTCGTAAAGACCAAAAGTCACCCGCAGGGACTCTTATAGATCGCTCACTAATACATTTCTCATATTAACAGGGGGATTTAAATTCATGATATTTTGTGAGAAAGTGAGTCGTTCTTACTAATTAAGCCAATTTGTGTTGGCAAAACCAAAGAATTTGTTTGCGTGTACGTATGTAATAGTTCTTCCCTTACTAGGATTAGAAAAAGCAAGTTTCTAAGGGGAAAGAGACAGAGACAATTGTTAGTATAACTTTATTGAAAGATGTATAATGTCGCGATAGGGATGCAATTATTATGTATAGAATTCATATAAACAGCGACTGAATAAAATATCACATGTTGTTGTGAAATTGTTCAAGTAATTAACGATGAATTACATATTATTCAAAAAGTGTTATCCGTTAAAAAATGGTTTCCTTTTCCCTACTTCCAAATTATAATTGTATCGTAAAAACAAAGTACTTGTATTATTTACTAAATAGTTGTAGTATTACACCCCAACGGACGTTATTCGCTTCATCAAGTCCAACTACTATTTAGCCTAGCTCATTTGACTACTCATTTGGCTCATCATAAACTAAGGAAGCTAATAATACTACAGAAACTAATAATATTCGGGGACTTTTTGATAAATTAAAGAAACTACAATTTGGGGATTATCTATAACTAGAATGTTCATTTTTCTTTTTCCTTCTCTCTCAAAACTATCCCTTTTTCTTGGTAAGCTGGAATCCTGGAGAATCAAGACTCGGTAGCAAGTGAAAACTGTAGAATCATCCTTTAAATTCGAAATTTAGTTTAAAATTACAGAAACTGTTGGAAGAGTGGGCTGGATGAATTGATGATACCAAATGTTTTAATTTTGGATTTTTGTCTTTCTATTTTCAGTCTTTGAAAGCTGAAGAATGTTTGCTTTTGACATGAATTTGTGTTACATTTGTGAGATTATTTTATGGGTGGATGATTACAATTCTGCAGTTTGGTGATTGTTAGTCATGTTTCAAAGAAGTTAAGTATATTTGTTTGGAAAAGAAAAAATCTAAGTTACATAAACAATGGTCATTTCAAAGAATGTGATCACTGCAAGATTAAATGGACAAGAGGGTGCAAACCTAGATTAGTTTGCATCATTAGCAGAGTCTTAAGAAAGACAGGATGATATGAAGTACCAATTGAGCAATGAGGATGAACTAATGAAAACCAGCTTAAAAATATAGCAAATTTAACAAACTGAAGACGTAACATCATCAAGAAACTAATCACCAGCAATGTACAGATGAAGAGAAGTTAAAAAGAAAATGTTTTGTCCAGAGTTTGTGAAATCCTCCGGAATTTCTTCAAGGTCTTTGCAATTTTGTAAGAGGAGTCTTTCAAGCTTGGGGAAATCATCAGAGGAGGCATTCCGTTGACCAATGTCCAGTTTGTCTAAGCACAAGAACTTGAATTTCTGAAACTCCATCTTCGACGTCCTAAATTTGCCCCTCAAGGCACCGGAAAGTAACTTGAGAACTTCCAGGTTTGGTAGTCTTCCAATGGCAGTTATATGACTCCATGGCAGGTGAAAGTTTGATAAAGTCAATTTCATTAGACTCGATGGGAGATGAAACTTACCATTCTTAAGTGGGCTTCCATGGTAAAATATCTTGAGTGACCCCAAATGAGTTAGAGATTTCAATCGTGGAGACTAATTGCCATTCGTGAAAGAATCTGGTGATTCCTTCCCCGCTCAATCTATGAGTTTGTAAACCCTCGGTGGTTCACACAACAGCCAGTCTAGGCTTTGCTGTTTGGGCTGGCGCCGCCAGTTTCAATCATAGTTATTAAACCCGACCCGGAGGGGAATCCGATGAAAGAGGTGGGTGAACGGATTATTGGTTCAATCAGTGGGTGAGTGGTTCAACCGGTGGGTCACGAAATATATTTAAATATTATGTTTCATAATTTTTGATATGGTTAAAACTATAATAAATTATGTCATAGTAAATCTTCAATTAGTCTAATTTATTATAGAATCATTAATTCTTATAAGAATTAACAAAACCTAAATTCAATTAGTAATCCATCAAATTTCAAGAATAAAATTTTATCTAAGTATAATTATCTAGTTTATTTATGAATTTTAAATGCAAAGAATTATTAAGAACGATATTTGCCTTTAGAATGAATTATGTGATATGTTATTTTTTAAATTCATTTCATAATTTATAGAGTCTGGGGAGTAATAAAATTTATTAAAAGATTCCAAATAAATTATGTTTTGGAAAATTAAAATAAGAATATGTCTAATATATAATATAAAAAAAGACTAAATGATAAACAAGTGAGTTGTTGGTGTAGCGGTTGTTGCATTTTCTTAAATACAAGAGATTGTTGGTTCGAAGCTTCACTCTAGCATCTTCCAAATTTTTTTTACATGCAAACCCAGTTTCCTACAAAACCGAACAAAACCGAACGGTTCTCCGGGTTTGACCGGTTGAACCGTCGATCCGTTAAAAAGTCAACGGTTCACTTGTTAAAACGATTCAATTAGCAAATCGATCCGGTTCAATGGCCGGTTCATCGGGTTGATCAGTCAACCGTCGGGTCGGGCCGAATTTTATAACTATGGTTTCAATTATGGGTAATTCCTCATACAAGATCACTGGCTGTGAGATGGCCAAAAATTTTTTTGATAACGATGGACAAATTCGAAGAGCGTCTTTTATCTGTCTGTGAAAGGTGGTCTTGGTAATAAGAAGCAATTGCATTTCAATTTCATCAAACAAGTACGATAACAAATCTAGTGGCTTCCAACTTCATCAATTCATCATGAATTCAGCACAAAAGAACTCACTATATGATGTAACAAGTAGGTAAGAGTTCAATAACTATAGACAATGACAAAATTCTAGTCAGCAATCACAGTCAGATTGCTGCATCTGGCGAAAAACATACATAATCTCAACAGAATGTAAAATTAAAAGGTTCCAATGTAAGGCAAAGCTTGGCATCAACTTCTTGCTTGTGGTGAACAAAATGTTAGAAATATTTACCGTTGTTAATTAATCATATTTGTTTATGCTACCTAATTAGTGGAGTTAGTGGAATAACTAGTGGGATTAGTGGAGTATTTAGTGGAGTTAGTGGAGTGAGTGGAGTTATTGGGATAGTTAGTGGAGTTAGTGAGATAGTTAGTGGAGTTGGTTTAAACTCTATAAATAGAGTAATTTCATGTCTTAAGTTGTGTGAGTTTTACAAAGAAATAAACATTTGTCCTTTGCTTCTCTTATTATTTGCCTCAATATTTGTATCAGTGGTACCAGAGCTAGGCTTGTGAGTGAAAACAAAAGTGAGTTGTGAGAATTGTGTTGGTAAATTACGATGGCCACTGACAATTTTGTGCAGCCAGCAATTCCTCGCTTTGACGGTCACTATGATCATTGGAGCATGCTAATGGAGAACTTCTTGAGATCCAAGGAGTATTGGCAGGTCGTCGAATCTGGAGTAGCAGAGCCAACAGCTAGAGAAATATTGTCAGAGGTGCAGAAAATGGAGTTGGAAGCATTGAAACTGAAAGATCTTAAAGCCAAAAATTATCTTTTTCAAGCTATTGATCGGGCCATTTTGGAGACAATTCTTAGCAAAGATACCTCCAAACAAATTTGGGACTCCATGAAGAAAAAGTATCAAGGAAATGCAAAGGCGAAGCAGGTGCAGCTTCAAGCTCTTCGGACCGAATTTGAGATTTTACGCATGAAGTCAAGCGAATCGGTCACTGATTATTTTGCAAGAACGATGGCAATCGCTAACAAGATGAGGATCCATGGGGAAAATTTGAAGGACGCCACCATTGTCGAGAAGATTCTTCGATCAATGACAACAAAATTTAATTTTGTTGTATGCTGTATAGAGGAATCGAAAGATATTGATGCAATTTCAATTGATGAGTTGCAGAGTTCGTTGTTGGTTCATGAGCAAAAAATTAACCAGCAAGAGAAAGGGGAGCAAGCACTGGTGGCTTCAACAGAAAGTCACTCAACATGGAGAGGAGGCAGAGGCAGAGGCAGAGGCAGAGGTAGAGGAAATAATGATCGTGGCAACCAACAACAACAATACCAGCACCAAGAAAATCAATTTCAAGGAAGAAGAAAAGGACGAGGAGGCTATCCATTAACAAATCAAAGGCCAAAGTCAGCAGACAAGTCCAATGTTGAATGCTACAAATGTCATAGGTATGGCCATTATCAGTCCGAATGTCGAACTAATTTGAATAGACAAAATGGAGAAAGGACTAATTTTGCAGAAAAAGAAGAAGAAGTGTCTCTTTTGATGGTGTGCCACATGAGTGAAGAAACTCAACAAAACACATGGTATTTAGACACCGTTTGCAACAATCACATTTGTGGAGATAAAAAGGCATTCTCTGAATTGGACGATTCATTCCGTAGCACTGTCAAGTTTGGTGACAACTCTACAATTTCTGTTATGGGAAAAGGAAGGGTAATTATCCAAGCTAAAGAAAATTCTTCTACCCACACTATTACTGATGTTCTTTTTGTTCCAGACTTAAAGACAAATTTGCTTAGCGTGGGTCAGTTGCTCGAAAAAGGGTACGAGATTTCAATCAAAGATGGTGTATGTCAGATTCGAGATGCAAAGTTGGGCTTAATTGCTCAAGTTAAGATGACGGCAAATCATATGTTCCCACTCTATTTGCAGAACTTGACTCATTCATGTTTCTCGACAAAATCGAAAGATGTGGCATGGTTATGGCATTTTCGTTATGGACATTTGAATTTTGGTGGACTGAAAACTTTGCAACAGAAAAATATGGTAGCTGGTTTACCTCAAATCACAACTCCTTCAGAAGTTTGTGAAGAGTGTGTTGTTGGCAAACAACATTGAGATAGCTTTCCAAAAGGAAAATCGTGGAGAGCAAAAAATGTCTTGGAGCTGGTTCACTCTGATCTATGCGGACCCATAAATCCGTCATCTAATGGTGGAAAACGTTATTTTATGACATTTACTGATGATTATAGTCGAAAAACTTGGGTCTATTTTTTGCAGGAAAAATCGGAAGCATTTTCAACATTCAAAAATTTCATGACTCTTGTCGAAAAGGAAGCAGGAAAATCCATAAAATTTTTCGTAGTGATCGTGGTGGAGAGTATAATTCACAAGAATTTATAAATTTTTGTGAGGAGCATGGAATTCTGAAGCAGCTTACAACAGCTTATACGCCGCAGCAGAATGGTGTTTCAGAGAGGAAGAATCGTACAATATTGAACAAGGTGAGGAGCATTTTGACAAAAAGTGGTGTTCCAAAAAAATTTTGGCCTGAAGCTGTCAACTGGAGCATTCATATATTGAACAGAAGTCCCACACTTGCTGTTAAAAATATGACGCCTGAGGAAGCATGGAGCGGATGGAAACCAATAGTGGATCACTTCAAAATTTTTGGATGCATTGCCTATGCTCATGTTCCAGAGCAAAAGAGGACAAAACTAGACAACAAAGGGGAGCAATGCATTTTTCTTGGTGTTAGTGATCAGTCAAAATCTTATAAGCTTTATAATCCTATCACCAAGAAAATTGTCATCAGTCGGGATGTAATTTTTGATGAGGAAAATTTTTGGCCATGGAGCAGCAATATTATTAAACAACAAATACCCGTTGATTTTGATGGAGTTGATGAAGAAAACAGGCAGCAGTTGACAGAACAAATTCCATCAAATGGTCCAAATAATGTATCAAATTCCCAAACAATAGCAGAAGATGAAGGACGACCTCAACGTATTAGAAAAAGACCTACATGGATGATTGATTATGAGGTAACTGGAATTGATCAATCTGAAGACCCGCTTACATATTTTGCACTATTTTTTGATTGTGATCCTACAGTTTTTGAAGAAGCTGTCAAAGATTTGAAGTGGCAGAAGGCAATGGATGAAGAAATTGCAACTATTGAATGAAATAACACTTGGGAGTTAACCAATCTTCCAGAAGGACAAAAATCTATAAGTGTCAAGTGGGTGTACAAGACGAAATTAAAGGAGAATGGAGAAGTTGACAAGTACAAGGCACGTCTGGTAGCTAAAGGCTATAAGCAAGAGTTTGGGGTGGATTATGGAGAAGTCTTTGCTCCAGTCGCAAGGCATGACACGATTAGGATGGTGATAGCATTGGCAGCTCAAAATTCATGGCCTATCTTCCAATTGGATGTGAAATCAGCATTTCTACATGGTGATTTACAGGAATAGGTATTTATTGATCAACCTCTTGGTTATGTGAAGGTTGGAAGTGAACATAAGGTATACAAACTCAAGAAAGCATTATACGGGTTAAAACAAGCCCCACGTGCTTGGTATAGTCGTATAGATGCTTATTTTTCTAAGGAGGGATTTAAGAAATGTCCATATGAGCATACACTTTTCATAAAGAATGGAGATGGAGGTAAATTGCTGATTGTTTGCTTATATG